ACAGGGATAACAATATCTTAGGTGCACTTGTAGTAGGAAACAAACTGCTGTGATCAAAAATGCTTGTGAGAAAGAGGAACACGACAGTGTCATTCTACGAACTGAATCAAGGATGAACACGCGCTGTTGTCCTTACCGGGGAGCAGCGCACTTCACCACTACACCAGCCGGATCCCGGATGACCCGGATGGTGTAGTGGTGAAGTGCTCTGCTCCCCGGTAAGCACAACAGCACGGGTTCGTTTCCCACTGCATACGCCTGTGGTCCGGAGTTTTGCAAATATCTCAGCACTTCATACGAGTTATATTTCACAACATACCCTGCCATTAAGAAGAAAAAGGCAGTAAATAAAAGAGTTAAGATTGAATCACGGATGCTCAGAAAATATGAACGCAGTCGCAGGTTCTAAGTGAATAGAGAGACGACCGATCAACCTGTTTATATTTGTTGTGGAGTAGGTGGAGTTAGTATGTAGATCCAAAGTTATCCGGTGAGTATGATCTGATAGAGTCGTTTCTGCGTGCGATAGAACACCAAACAAAGAAGGGACAGTTTCCACAAAGAGCTAATTCAACCTCGACTTGTCTGAGAAAGTGCATCAGATAAGAACGAAAAATTTACGGAAGAAAGGATCGTTGTTCGAGCAGTTCTACGCCAGGATGTTTCGAGTTCATGTGAATAATAGTATCATCTGCTTTCCTGCAGAGGGTTTCTGCATGGTATTGTATGTGAAAATAGAGTATTCACTAACAGATATATTCTCCGTCTCTTTAACTCTTTTTAATCAAAAATGGAAGAACCTATTTTTTTTTAAGAATGTCTTGCTAAACCTTTCACTGGCATTTATAGAACAAAGTTTTTCGAGAAATCTGGATAGCTAAGAGTTACCATCCTCTTACAGGGATCGAACCTTCGGCGCAAAACTCTCGATGCCCTCTTGATAAATTCTAATCATCCGAAAATGAACAGCAATACCTAATGCCTCGTTATCATGCATGATCTCACACAGCATTTAAGAGACATGTTTTCATGTGACGGGCACATTACTCAACTCTCTGCGGTTGGTCTCCACGTGAGCTATTGAGTGTAAGACTCGTAGGTATCGGTGAGCGTGTGGAGAACTTTCCTAGTGATCGAAGTCTTGGTTTAATATTTCTTCTCTTTGGTTATGGAAGTGTTTGAATGCGTAGATTGTTGTCAACAGTGCCTTCTCAGGTTCTGGAGAAGCCGAAATCTGACGAAACTTCAGTTGTTGAGAATTAAGCGGAACAACCTATGTGCAAGCTATAAAATTTAAGTGATCAGAATATGTTTCCTAAAAAATTACGCTTTCAAAATAGATTCGTAACTCAATGTTTTTCATCAATAAGCAGACACGAGGTTGTTAATATAGAATTTATTAGAACACAATTGCTGACGTTTCGGCGGTTTCGCCTTCTTCAGAGCCTGGAAAGGTCAAATTGAGATGCGATCTACTCAGCCAAACACTTTCATAACCCTAGCAGATAAAACTTGATAAATCGATTTGTATTCGCATAAGAAACAGCTTCATTCAAACACCTACCGTTTATTTGTCGTAAGTATTTAAGTTAGTTGGTGGATAGCCGCCGCACAGAGTAATACATGGTCGATAACTGGGTCCATGTCAGATCATTGGATCAGCCTGAGGTATGGCGCTAGGTCACGCGTGATGACAAGACACTCCTCCTTGCGGTTCATTTTTGAATTTTTGGCATTGATCCAAAACGCTTCAAGAGTTTTTCGCGCTGATGTTTTCGATTCCTGCGTAAGGATAGTGACTCCTACCTCAAAATCTTCTCCGTTGTGTTCTTGCATGACTATCGTAACTATCCATAATATCTCAAAAATTAAATTCTGATAAATCCAATGAAAGCTTCAGCAGAACAAACGCATGAAAAGCAGGCTATTTCATTTTTTGTTGAAAAGTGTTAGAGGAGAATATATCTGTCAGAAAATGATCTCCATTTTCATATACGGTTCTATGTAGAAACTCTGCAAAGGAAAATTTCTTTCGTATTGATGCACTTTCTCAGATATGTGGAGGATTAAGTTAGCTCTTTGTGGAAACTGTCCTTTCTTTGCTTAATGTTCTATCGCGCTGAGAAAGACATTATCAGATCGTACTTAGCCGAAAGCTCTGAATCTACATCCTAATCCCACCTACTGCACAAAGTATATAAGCAAACTTCATTGGTCGTCTCTCCATTCACTTAGATCCTCCGCCTTTATGCACAACTCTTACGCAACACTGCTTCATTTACTAGAAACACATTTTTGCATTCTTTTTTCTCAGAGGCATTTTGGGTCACTGTATCACCTGCAGTCCCGTTGATCGTCGAGTGATTCGACTGCGCGCCGGTAAATCTTCCATTTTCCCTGTTGCGTGAAAGAGTAGCCCTGATGGTTCGGCTTACTCTAGAGACTCGTTGATCATCATGTCTTTCTTCTAGGTTTACGTGAAGAATTCTGACCATCGGGTCGGTAGTCTTCCTGCAGTGCGTTTAACATCCCGAGGAATCCAGTCACCAACGTCTCTTGTCCACTTGCTATCATTCATACGGATTACGTGTCCCGTTCATCTCATCATCGACTTTCTTGCGTAGAGAGCGGCATCTTTAGTTTTTGTTCGCTGACGCAGGTCGGAGCTTCGAATCTCTTCCCTTATTTGCGTGACATGGGATACTATCATTGTCCTTTCGACTGCGCGCTCAATAATGCTGAGTGGTTTTTCATCCTGCTTACGCATCGACCAAGTTTCTGACGCATACGTTAACGCAGGAAGTACCGTTGAGTAGAAAAGGTGCGCAAGTAGACGGGTGTTCTTTGTTCTTCTCACTATTTCCTCGATGCTCTTGAAAGCTCTCCAAATCGCTCGTTTCATTCTGCTCAACTGTGGAACTAAGTTGTTCATAATCTTGATTTCCGATCTAGGTAGATATAACTGGAGCATTCAGAGACATTCGTTCCGCTGAGCGTGAATGGGGCATGCAAAACCTATCCGTTCCTCATAAACATCGTTTTTGTGAGATTAAGTCAAAGACCAAAGTTTCCACAGGTTTTATCAAAGTCGACCAGCATTCGCTCTCCATGGCTGTTTTGAGTTATAAGCACGACATCATCAGAAAGGCGAAGGTAGTCTGTTTGCTGGCCATCAATTTTTATTCCTGTTTTATCCCATTCCAATGCCCGCATGACGTTCACGTGGGTGGCGGTAAATAATTTTGGTGAGCTGGTATCGCATTGCCTATCTCCTCTTTGTCAATATCGTTGTAGAATGGTAATATACAGGCTTTCTGTAAAGCTCACAAAGTTTCTTTTTCTACTGAGAAAGAGCTTCTTGACTATCAAGGGCTTCCATGACAGCTTCTATCTCAATTAAGTCAAAGGCCTTCTTAAAATCGATGGAAGTGAAAGAGAGCGGTCTTTTGTTCTCATGCGATACTTCAATGAGTCTTGTTAACGTGTTATCGTACACAGAAACTCTATCAGAGACTACAGATACAGGGACCCTATCAGATCGTACTCACCGGAGAGATCTGTGTCTACATACTCTGTATACTTTCTGTATTTGCTAGGCATATTCATGCATGCATGTGTGGGTGCGTTTTTGCCTATGCGGATTGTATTCTACGAGTTAATTCAGCCAAAAGCCTACAATCAAGAGACAGGAAAGTATATGGGAGGAGGTTAGGCGCCGCCTCCAAACATGAGCTCCACGTGCACTCTTGGAGAGGTTGGCAACCAACCCACGAGTATACCCAGCTCCAACCTTCAGAGCCCAATACGTGGGTATCAAAAGGCTAAATAAAGTGAAAGAAATAGACTTCATTCACCTGACCTCAAGAAAGCCCACAATTCGGTAGCGTAGGGTAGCACGAGCACGGAAAACGTACTAAAAAGTATGGAGAAGCTGCTAAAATCTCAGAGTCAATGGAAGCTACTTGAACCGCGTAGAACTAAGATGACGATCTTTACCTACAATTCACGTACACTTGCATCCGAGTCCTCGATAGAAGACTTATTCACGCAAGCAAGAAGGATAAGGCACGACGTCATCAGCCTGGTCGAGACGAGAATACGTCAGCCTTTCAAAGCCGTCTATGAGACCGGAGAAGAGCTGTTCCTCGGAACATGCGACAGTAGAAGAGTCGACGGCGTCGGCGTTCTTGTCAACACGAGTTTGTCCATGAGCATCGATTCATTCGAGCATCTTACAACCCAAATAAGATGTTTACGATTAAAAGATGTGGATCACTACCAGCTTAGACAATCATCGTCGCTTACGCGCCGACATCAAACTATGACGAAGAAAAAGCCGAAGCGTTCTATATGGGCGTGGAGAAGTTCAACAGAGAAGACCCCACATTCTTCGAGGTCATCATTACAGATTTCAACGCTAAAATTGGAACAACAAGAACGCCTGAAAGACGTTAGATTGGGACCGACCGATTAGAATGGAACAAACAAGGTGAGCGGCTATCTGAGTTTATTGAGTTTACCATGCAACACGTTACTTGTCTGAATGCAAGTTTCCTACTAAGTGGAAGACCAGCAAGACCGTGTTATTGTACAAGAACGGTGACCTGCGCGATATCGGCAACTATTGCCCAATCTGCTTGCTGTCTGTCGTCTACAAACATTTCACTTGAGTCATCTTAAACAGCATTGACAGAACACTAGGTGAGAGACATCCATGTGAGCAAGCAGGGTTTCGAAGAGGATTTAGTACGATGGACCACATCCACACGGTAACATGGCTCATTGAAGTATCTCGAAAGTAAAAAAGACCGCTCTGTCTCACTTTCATCGATTTTCAGAACGCCTTTGGTTCAGTTGAGATAGAAGCAGTCTTGGAAGCCCTTAATAGTCAAGGAGGCCCTACTCAGTACATAGAGATTCTTCGTGAGGTGTCCAAAAATTTCACAACCAAGATATCACCATTCTACAACGATATTAACATTCACTCCAAAAGAAAGAGTAAGACAAGGTGATACCACCTCTTTAAAATTATTTACCGCTATCTTCCAGAATGTCGTGCGAACAGTGGAATGGGATAATATGGGAGTGAAAATCGACGGTCGACAGTTACACCATTTTCGCTTAGCTGATAACATCGTCGTTATAACGCCAAACACTAGCCAAGCGGAACACATGCTGGCCGACTTTGATAAAGCCTGTGGAAAGGTTGGTCTTCGACGAAATCTCACAAAAACGATGTTCATGAGGAACGGATTGGTTTCGCATGCCGCATTCACGCTCAACGGAACGAATATCTCTGAATGCTCCACTTATATCTACCTAGGTCGGAAATCAATATTATGAACGACTTAGTTCCAGAGCTGAGCAGAAGGAAACGAGTGGCTTGGGGAGATCTCAAGAGTACCGAGGATGTAGTGAAAAGAACAGAGAACCTACGAATCTGTGCCCACCTTTTCAACTCAACGGTATTTCTTGCCCTAACGTATGCCTCAAAAACTTGGTCACCGCGTAAGCAGGATGAAAAGTCACTCGGCTTTACCGAACGCGCAGTCGAAAGGACATGCTAGAAGTATCCCGTTCCACACAAGTAAGGGATGAGACCCAAAGTCCCGATCGGGAAGACCTTGACCCGATAGTCAGAGTTCTTCACAAAGAACCTTAAAGAAAGATATGGTGCTCGACGAGTCCCAAGAGAGAGGAGAATCCACTGGGCTACTCTAGCACGCGACAAGAAAAAATGGAAAATATACTGGCGCCCGCTCGAGTCACTCGACGATCAACGGGACCACAGGTGGTACAGGTGATACTTGTTCCACTTACTCCACAAGAAATATAGGCAAGTTGCTTGTTAGCCTCTGCATTCACTTGGAACCTGCATTTGCTTTCATATTTTCAAAGCATCCTTGCTACAGTTAGCAGAATGACACTCGCGTTCCTCTTTCTCACAAGCATTTTTGATCACAGCAGTTTGTTTCCTACTACAAGTGCACCTAAGATATTGTTATCCCTGTGCACATTTACAGTTTTCGATTTCTTTATGTCGAATAGGAGCAGAGGATGTAAAATCGAGCGTATCTTTGCAGAAGTAACGTCTACTGGACTGAGTATGAAGCATCTTCTAATTCTCGTTGCTCTTACCGGAATTACACTGGTAGACTAATGTTCTTGCAATAGCTAAGGAAGACAGCTTTTTCGAATCCAAAACAGGCAGTTACGATGTTTTAGGCATGCAGTGGTAAGATGCAGGATAACAACGATGAAAAGCATATGCCAGGGCCGCCAGGTCCACCAGGACCAGCTGGGCCACCTGGACCAGCGGGGCCGCCAGGGCCACTAGGGCCACTCCTTCCACCAGGGCCAAGAGCGCCAGTAGAGCGAAGACGATTCCGAAGAGACACCAAGGTAACAGATATATAAGCAAAGTGAAGGTTCAGATAAGGAAGAGAAGAAGTCCAATTACTAGAGACCGCTGAGAATAATTTAAGTAAGAAGCTACTACTAAAAAGGCTGAGGTTCTCTAACCCTAAAGTGTGAGATAATTTAGCAGCATAATGGCGACTAGAGGAATGTACAAATCTACTGAGGAATTTTCGTGATACACTTTGGCAATCACCAGTGGTTTGAGACGCCTTATTCAAGGCGGGTGTTCCGTTGTACTCAAATGCGATGTACCTTGAGCATTCCATCGCCAGTGAATGCTTCCAAGCTATTGGTGAGATTGACATGTCTATCCGGAAACATGTAGGAGGACGGTGTCTGACGAGCTTCTGGTTTCCACTTTTCCGTCAAAATCGGTTGAAAAATCTGGAGTGTCGTCAACACTTCGATGATAGTCCTGTTCTGCTGAATGACTCTGATGTGTTACAAGTAATACTTGCGCGCTCTCCTGTCCACTCGAGTTGTTACCTGATTTACAAGAGAACAAAGAGTAATGATGGATACTACTTCATATTTTATCGAGTATTTAGGATTTCTAAGGAATTGTTTTGCAAAGAGGAACATATCGTTGAAACGTTGCTGTTCACGCGAACAATTGAAAGTTACCAAACGCTTTTCTAGTACATTAGTGCCTGTTCAGAGTTGGAGGGACTGGGCTGTAAGCAAACTACGTTAAAAATAGCTTTCCATTACAATAGTCGCATTCTACAAACGTCAATCAATGCAGTAATTCGTAGTGGGGTGGAATCGCTGAAAGGTTTGAACTCGAACTCCTTTGAAATCACGAATAAAGACTAAGTATTCGGAAACTGTAAAAAGAAGGAGACAAACAGTCGACATCGGTAATACGCTGGACGGGAAGTTTCGTCGGACCTCGGTCAATAAATTCAATTCTTTTCTGCCCGTGTTTTCAAGAGTTCTGAAATTGCTTTCATTGCTCATTCAGAGCTTTCGTTTCGGACGTCCTATGACTTTATTTTACAATGAATCACTTAGTATTCCTAAGAAAAAGCAATTAGGTGATAATGAGACACGTAAGCAGAAGCGAGCGGTTAGCTGGTAAATTCCAAAAGGTTAACAAATTTTGTAAAAATTTTGTTTTAACCAACATTTCCTTCACAGAATTGGATGTTCAGGTGATCGATCAGGTGCTGGAAGGCATCCAGAACAATTCAAGTGCTGACATGAATTCTCGCAGTGTAGCAGCTCTCTGATGAAAACTTCTTTTTTATCCGGATTGCTATGAATCAATAAACCTTCTTTTGGTTTTTACTGTATGTTTGCACCTGTTCTTTGGCTCGATGAAAAATTCCATTGCGAATACTGAATCGACCCGCCGTTTATCCTCTCAGCAATCGCGAGGTTGTTAAACATCAAACGTTTACTTCCATACAATAACACACATACAACAGAATCGTAGCTGACGTTTCGGCAGTATCGTCTTCTTCAGAGCCTGGAATGGTGCACTAATACGCAACTTACTAGGTCAAACGCTTCAGACAGAAATATGAGAATCGAAATGGCAGTCACATGGTCAACAGCTTCTCGAATAAACCCACCGTTTTTACGTGAATTCCACTGAGGAAGAGCCGCTGATCAGAGTCGCATATGGTTGACGACTGCACCTCCCCACATCAACGATCGATGCGAAGGTACGGGACGAGATCACGAGTGATCAGGCGTTTGTCCGAAAAGCTTCAAGAAGCGTGCGCGCCGGTGTTTTAGCATCCTGTGTTAGGATAGTGTCTTTCATATCAAAATCGTATTCGCTGTGCTTTCCTAACCTATACGTTCTTAGTGGGGTACTTTGTTTTGCTTTTCGTTTGCCATCTAGGTGTTCTTCTATGCGGATACATAAGGGTCTGCCCGTTTTGCCAATATATTCGTCTCCGCAAGCGCCACGAGGCATCAGGTATATCGTACCTGAGCTCATGCAATCACCGTCCCTGCCGTAAGGGCAAATTACGCAATTCTGTGCTTCACATGGACGGTCATATAAGCGGTTACGAACTAACTGACGGCGAAGAGTATCGGGTGGTATTTCAACTATCGCAACCGATTCCTCTAGACCTGCCTTTCTTAAGCATCGTTTTATAGCTATACTTATTTCATCGCTAATAAAGGGCAACATAAGCGTGATTTTCTTTTAGCCAAGTATTTTGTTTTGGTGCGTTACTCTCCTTTTAAACCTTTCTCGTCGTGTTACTGTTTCGTAGCCATTGGAGATGGCTATTTGCTGAACCAAGTCGCTCAACTCCTCCTTTAATTCCCTCTTCGTGCACATGGAGGTGTGTTTGGGTGTAAAGGGTAGGAGGAGAGGAAATGAACGAGGATGTTTTCGTTGCTTCGTTTTCGATACCATTTTCTCATGTAACCGATACTTGATAAGTTCACTTGAACGTTAATAAATGGAAACCAGTTTTCTTTCGGTTTCTCCCTGATGAAATTGACGTGCTCTAACTGCTCGTTCAATAATTCTAATCGTTTGTCCATCTCTCCTTGCGTAGAGACGACGACAAAACAATCTACAGTAGACTTTCTATGAACCTCGGCATAGATAGTTGATATATTTATTTATGTGATCTTATAAACTGATCTTCTTAAGCTGACGCG